TGGAAAGCAGAGGGTTGATCTGAGTAACCCCCGGCAGTCTGTGATGCAGGGCTTAACAGAAATGGGAGACAGAAGTATTAGTCACCAATTTGGCTAATATTTACCGTGTCCCTCCTAAGTGCCAGGCACTGTGCTAGTTCTGGAGATGCCTCATGAGCGCAACAGGGAAGTTCCTGCCCCCATGGATCCCACACTGCAGTGAGGGAGACACACAAGGAAAAATACAGAAGTCAAAGTCATGTCGTGTCACATCGAGATACATCTGTGGGGATAGCGAGATTGCAGTTTTACAAATGGTCTGGGTCAGGAAGGGGCTTGGTGAAAGGTAGCATTTGAACACGGACCTGAGGAGGCGAATGGGGGAGCCATGCTCACATCCAGATAGAGGGATACAGCATGTGCAAGGGCCCTGAGGTGGGGGGGCGGGCTTCCCGGTATGTTTGAGGGGCAGGGAGAGGCAGGAGAGGAGGTCAGAGGCTACAGAGGTCAGGGGTCAGGCAGGCGGGATGGGGCCCCGTCTGGGATTGCCCGGATGATTTCACAGACGTTGGCTTCTACTCTGAGTTCCAGTGGGGGCCTGTGCAGTGGGTTGAGCAGAGGAGCCAGGTTCTAGCAGGCTCCCTCTGGGGCTCTGTTGAGAATAGGCTGCACGAATTGGGGATGAGGGTGGCCTGGGAGGCGAGCCAGGGGCTGTCACTGAGGTGAGGTGGCTTGGCCTGAGGTGGTAAGAGGTGAGCGGCCTCTGGGAATGTTTGAAGTGGTTGACGAGATGCCCTGACTGGTTGGCTGTGGGGCTGAGGAAGGGCAAAGTCAGGGAGGAGGGCCGGGTTTTGGCCTGAGCAACGGGAAGGAGGGACATTCAGATGGGCAGACACGGGGGTGGGCAGGTTTGGGGAGAGTTCAGGAGGTTCTCCTGGGACGTGTTTTGTGAGTTTGAGGAGCTGGATCGATACCTACCGGGAGCCCTTAGGCAGGCAGTAGCACGTCATAGTCTGGATTCCCCAGGGGTGGAGGTACCATGTGGGGTCCCCAGTGTCCCGTCTGGAATCTAGATTCCAGATGGCATTGGAAGCATGAGACCTGCTGAGCCGGCCTGGGGGGGTCCGTGCTCATCCACCAGTCGGGTACCTGCCGCATACCTAGTCCGCGCCCTGGCGCTGACATCGGGGTGGTGGGGAGGTGGGAAGATGTAAACCTCCTTATAATCTGGGCCTGACCCCAGGCTTGTTTTCAAGACTGATCACTCTTTGGGGAGCAGAAGAGGCCGAGAAGAGGCTGGAGCACTCAGAGCAGGCTTCAGGAAAGCTGGGGCTCGGCCTGGGTCTGGAGGGACAAGTGGAGCAGAGCCTGACCTGGTGGAGGGGAAGGGCTTTCCAGGCAGGAGGAGGGCTGGGGGGAAGGGTATAGAGGCAAGAGTGAGGCAGGGTGTGGTTGAGCTTGACCGCGGCGAAAGGGCCCAGGGTGGTCAGCAAGCTGGGCACTTGGAATTTGTGTCTCACCTGGGGACTCTGACACCGGGCAGTAACTTAACCTTGTCTAGCCTCATCTGCAAACTGAGTGTCCCTCTTCTGCATAGGGTTGCCAGGAGAGCATGTTGGGATCTAACAGTCCTGGATGTGACATGCTCACTCTGGCACGTGGCATGTGCTAGGCCCTGGACACACCTGGGGAGGTGCATTAGCCCTGCCTCAGTGAGTCTCTTCCATGTGGCCAAGAAAGAGCAGCGCTTCCGGAGAGCCACCGCCGGCGATGCTCGGCCCACGTTGACGCCGGCTGACCGCAGGCTTCTCAAGCTGAAATGCCCAGCACCCTGGCCACCTTTCCTAGGCCTCTTCTATTTTAGGGCCCAGTCCCAATGGATGAGCAAGGCTTGTCCAGCTCCACCACAGCTAATGACAGCCTAGCCTGCCAGGCCATTTAAAAACAGCTCCACTATTTTTATCAACAGGAGGAGGCTGGCCTAGCCTCCTCCCCAGACAGTGCCCACATGGGGTGATTTTAAGGAAACCAGGGCCTTGATAGGAAGATGGGCCATCATCTCAAATCACAGACTATGATCATGCAGGATGTGTCCACGGAACCTTCTAGGGGGTGTCAGGTGTCACCTTTACTTGGGGTCCGAATTTAGAGATAATTCTATCCTACCTTGCCGGTAGGGCTCTGAAGGAATCACCCAGCCTCTCTGCCCTGAATATTCCTCAGACCCAGTCCTCTCTGGTGTCTCTGGGAGGAGCAGACCCCTGTCCCCATGGGAGCCGGGGCTTGGAGAGGACAAGGCTGAGGTGGTTGTGCTCTTGGGCCAGCCCCAGAGCTCTCACCTGCTGCGACCTTCATGGGCTGGGGGAGGGGGGTGGCGCAGACGACAACTGCAGAGCACCCAGAGTAGCTGGGCCAGGGGATTGAGACAGGGCGGGTAACTAGACCAGGATGGGCATCAAAGAGGCGGTGGTATTTGAGGTGGGGTGGGAAGAGGGAGGGAGGGGGCAGAAAGGTGATCTGAGGAGGGGAGGAAGGGGCCAAGAGTGGGTGTATCCAAGGTAGACTGACAGGAGAGGGGGCACAGAGGAGGAGGCAATCAGGGGGAGACTGGGGCCCAGGACAGGGTATGGAAGGCAAGCGAGGCCCTGATCCTACAGACAAAGGGGCCAGTGAGGGCTTCTAGCAGAGGTGAGGGTGGCAATGGCCCCATGGCTGCTGCAGGAGATGACTGGAGCAGGGCCAGGTGCCTCTTGTCTTAAGGATCAACCAAGCAGGTGCTCAAAAAAAAATTTTTTTTTTTGTTTGGAAATTAGGCAATGGACAAAAACAAAAGGTTTTACTGAGAGACAAAGTATGGCCAGTACACCACCACTCCGCTATCCCTAAGGAGGGCAATGCTGCCCTGCACGAGGCCCTTCCACCCCCTTCCCTTCCACTGCCTGCTTATTGAACAGTCTCCATCCCTGGAGCTTATTGAACATTTTTCTTGAAAGAAGGAGGGAATCTCCCCCACAGTTTGGCCAGGAAAGAGCCATTTTAAACTACTTTCAATTAGTGCTCAAGAAACATCCCGTGGACATGGGGCCTGTGCCCTCTTGGTCCTGGTGTTGTAGCTCTCCCTGCTGTTCCGTGGCTTGCTGTGACTCTTCGTGGTTTATAGGTGCTTCCTCGTACCTTCTGCACCTGAGCAGTCCTACCTCCGGGAACACAGGAGCTGAGAGTTTAAATGGCAGAACCAGGCCCAGAGCCCAGTCAGGGAGCCCTCCGACTGGGCCCCATCGCTACCCACCTTCCACCCCCGCCCCATCCCCAGTACCCTAGAGCCCCTTCTGGATGGTGTGGGTGGGCCAGCTGTGCAGGTTCCCTTGCACTTACTCAAACCCCAGGAAGGCTCTTACCTGAGGCAGAAGACAGAGGGGGGACCACGGGCCCTGCAGACAGTCCCAGTATGGCTCCTGGCTCTTGGGGCTGTGGGTCGTGTCATGTCGGGGGCAGTGGCCCAGAGGAGATGCACTGGGCTGAGGTGTGCCCATCCAGGTAGGCTTTCATCTGTAGCCTAGCTTGGGGTGGGGGCAGGAGTGGGGTCCTTCCTGGTTCTGGGAGGCCCAGGGCTGGCTGTTAGCCCTCCCGAGGATGTTCCAGGTGCCCGAGGGAGCAGCCCCTGTGCTCCGTCTTCTTCCTGGAGTACAGAGAGCTGCTAGGGGCCCAGATGGAGGCCTGGAGGGTGTGCGGTGAGAAGGGGCAAGTGTGAGGTGAAGTGTGGCGTTCCTTCTCCTGGGCTCCCCATCCGGGTGAGCTGCACGTCTGTGTTGGGTCAGAGGAGCATCTCGGGCATGGTGCAGGGACACCCGTGCAGCGGGGAAGCTGACTCTGTGCGTCTTGGGGTGCCTGTGATGTCCACACTGAGAAAGCCCCAAGAGGACCCCATCTAAATCCCTTTCCTCTTGAGCATTAGCTTCCTGTGAGCCTTCTATTAACTGGTCACTCCTACCCCTAAACGTTCAATGGTTCTCGGAAGCTAATGCCATGCTGCTGCACCCTGGCTGCACAGAGTCACCCCTGGCTGCACACAGTCTCCCCAGGAGCATCCCGTGTCTCACGGGCTCCCCTCTGATTGGTTTGGGCTGGGGCCTGGCATCTGTGTGCCGGGGTGGGAAGCCGGGCTAGGGCAGAGGGTGGGCTTCCTCAGCTGGCTGCCAGCCCAGGCCCCCTTCTTGTCTCTTCCCAGCCTCGTTATGGCCAGGCCAGCCCCTTCCAGGTCCCCGCCTGCTGGGCACCGTCCTCATGTCTGCACTGGCCCGTGGGCTGCTTGCTCTCTGCCCCCAAACCCCAGGCCCACACTGCCCCGCCAAATCCCACCCTCTCTGGGAAGCCTGTCTTTAATCATGTGGCAGTCTTTTATCTCTCTAGTGTGTCACCTGGCACCAGTCTCCTAGAAGGTGCCCAAGATGGCTTGTTAAAAAGATCGATGCCTCCCTCCTCATCCCAACACACCCCCCCCCTTTCTTCCTCAGCCACTGTATCCCTTGTTGATCCCTTGCCCTGGTGACCTTTCTAGGATCTATTCCAGCCTTGGGGGAGGAGGGCCAGGGCTGGAGGGCTGTATTCATTCACCCCCTCCTGCCCCTGCCCCTGAGCCATTTGAGAAAAGGGCAATGAAGTCAGTGAAGGACCAGTCGGGGTCAGAGGCCAAGATGGGGGTCCCCCTCCTGGCAGAGACACACCACCCTGCGTGTGAGCAGCTGGAAGCCTGGGAGCCCAGGCCGCGGGGGTGGTGGAGAGGCCGTGCTGTGCCCACAGTCGGAGCCCCGATGGCTTCGCCTTGCCATCCGCTGGGCTCCCCTGTAACCTGAGCCAGGGCGATGCCCTTGACTGTGCTGTCCCAATCCCTGCCTCATGTCCCGGCATCGTGCCGAGGGCAGTGGGGGTGTGAGCGTGTCGGTGTGTAGAGCGTGTGTGGTGTGTCCTTGCGTGTTGGGTGGGGAGGACCCCCCCAACTGCCACCCCGTGCCGTCCTGCAGGCGAGAGCGGCCAAATTGGAGCAGGAGGCCAGGAGGCTGCAGCTGCGCAGTCTGCAGTACCTGGAGCGTTACGTGTACCTGGTGCTCTTCAACGCTTACCTCCACCTGGAGAAGGCGGACTCCTGGCGGAGGCCCTTCAGCTCGTGGATGTGGGAGGTGAGAGGCGCAGGCTCCCGGTGGCCCGAGCGATCGTTTCTCTCCACAGGTGGCTTCCCCGACAAGGTCTTGTCTCGTTCAGCTGTGGGTGTCCAGCCTCGCGTCCGCACCTGGCCGGCGGCTGGGCAAAGTGGGATGAGTGGACGAAGGGAGAGGGGGGGTGTGGGGAGCAGTACGGGGCAGGGCGCCAGGCTGGGTCCTGCTCTGGGCACCCCCACCCCGGGACTGACGTTCTCTGGGTGCTTCCTGTGATCGCTGTGTTCACCCCTCACTGTGCCCTGCTAGGTACAAGGTGGCGTGGTGGCCTGGCCCCTGCCGCCTTCCAGCTATGACCTTGGATCAGCTGACCCTCAGCGCTAGGGGGGAGATCCTCTTGACTCTGTCAGCGCCACCTCCGAGCGATGTGATGGGGATTCCATGAGATACGTGGGGGGCCGTCTGCCAGGCCCCATGTGAGCAGGTCTGCCTCACGTGGAGGAGGCTGAGCACAGACCAGTGAGGCACTTGTCCTCGGTCAGGAGCAGAGCCAGGCACTCAGCTGCCAGCCCACCACATCTGGCCTGAGATGTGGCCTTTTGTTCCACTCCCACCCCACGTTGCCTCCCGGTTCTTCTAGTTCTCTGGCTCAGCTGGTGGTTACAGGGGCAGAGCTGCTGCCTTGGCACCTCCAGGTCAGGAGACAGGCCTCCTTCCTCCCTTGGCAGAGCGGCCTATAATTGCCCCTCCACCAGGATGCTGGCGTCTCCTGGCCTTGCCAGCCTGTCCTGATAGTTCTAATCTGCACTCAAGGCCGGAGTTAGCTCCTGTGGGGCAGGTGGGTGGGAGGGTGGGACTGGTGACCCCAGCCAGAGTGGGTAAGGAGGGGCACTGGGCCTAGGCAGTGTGCGGGTGGGGTCAGAGCTGCCAGGGAACAGAGGCGGGGCGGGGGGCCACTGCAGTGCCTGGCGCCTGCTGGGTGGTTTATAGTGAGGACCAGCCTTGAGGGTGGTCCTTGGGCAGATGAGTGTAGAGTCAGGAGGCCTGTTAGGGGATGGATCCCACCAAGGCCACATCGGGGCCATCCTGTTGGGCAGGCCTGGGCTGAGCTTCCTCTTTGGACCCCTGGGTATTGTGGGTTGCTTAGGACACTTATGCTTGGGTTCTGTTTGGAGAGTGGAAATTGGGGGAACCAGAGGCTGGGCAGGAGTGCGATGCCCTCCCCAGCTGAGCCTGGGTGGTGCATGTTGGGGGATGTCAAGGAAGGAGAGAGCTGGTTCAGCCAGGAGCATGGGCTCCAGCCTCAGGGGCTCTCAGTCCCTCCCTCCCGGGGATGAATGGAGGGTGGGGGTGAGGGTTGCCTTGGGACCTCTGGTCTGAGTGGAGCACATCCTCCCCATCTTCTAGGATGCTGGAGAGAGAAGGGGGCTGATTGTTGAATGGGTTACATCTAGTGCCAGGCCTGGGGCCACCGGGCAACAGGGCTGATGGAGAATGTCCAGGGAGCCCCAGCCTGCCTGCCTGGTCCCCAACTGCAACAGCCAGCCACAGGGCTCTTGCTGGCTTCCACGCCCATTCCACCTTCGCTAGCCCTCTGTGGGGTCCTGGCTGTAATGCTCAGAGCAGCCGGGCCTGCGACCCTGAGCATCTCAGTGGGAATACCCGGGCTTCATGGACACAGGGGTACTTGGCCTCCTGCACCACTCTTCTTCTTCCTTACTGTCTGCTGGGTGCTTTCTGGGCTTCTGGAGCCCTCCATCATCGTCCTGGGGCATAGACACTGTTGTCCCCGTTATAAAGAAGCTGAAGCTCCTGGTCACCAAAAGGCAAACTTGCTCAGGTCGCAGAGCTGGTGGAAGGCCGTGCAGGGCCCCAGGCTCACCTGTGTGTTCTGCAGCCCGATGAGGGGAAGAGGGTGTGGTGACGTGGCAGGGGGCAGGGTGACCTCTCTCCGAGAGTACCGCCCCCATCTCTGCTGTCTTCCCCCAGGTGGCATCAAAGGCCGGTGTCTACGAGATCCTCAATCAGCTGGGCTTCCCGGAGCTGGAGAGCGTGCAGGCCCAGCCCTTCTCCAGACTGCGCTGCAGGTGGCAGGAGCAGAGCCGCAGCCCCGAGCCCTCGGCTGCTGGAGACTTCCTGTAGGACGTGCTGCCCCAGGCCCTGCCGCCCCCTTTTACAGGGCCCCGTGCAGGCTGGGGGTGCACCAGGTGCTCTTCAGGGAGAGCGGTCCCAAGGAGCCCATTCCTCAGCTTCCCAGAGAGCCTGGGGTGGGGTGGGCACCCTTTATTAAAACCAGCTTTTTATAGGACAAGTAGCGCACAGTTATACTTGTAAACAGCAGCCGCGTGGACCTCTGGGAAGGCCTCGTGTGTGCCTTGCAGGCTGCAGACGGTTTCCAAGGAGCTCAGTGCCAGCCAAAGCTCTCACCATGTCCATGCACGCCCTCCTCTCCCGCCTCAGTGAGGTCCTCACAGCCTCGGGTGCAGAGCTGCTTTCCCCATCTTGTGTTCTCTTGCTGCCCTCCCCACTCAGCCTCTCCCCACTTGCTGCCTCAGCCCTGCCCTGGGGCCCCTGGCTCCCCAGTGAGTGGACAGGCTCTGGTGGATTTGTCACCTCACTGGCAGCTGTACCAGTTTCCTTGCCTCTCATGCCCTGTCTCCAACCTGGAGATTCCAAGAAGCACAACTACTGTCCTGCTGGGTCTGGTGGAGGCTCTGCCTCTCGTTCCCTTCCCCCTGTCCCTCCCTTGGGGCTGGCGGGACCGTGGAGGTCCCCAAGGAGCTAGAAGGGAAGAGTCCCTCTCGGGGGGAAGGCCCTTCTAGGTGGATGCAGCCCCGTGGAAGAGGCCTGCTCCATTTCCCTGGGAGCCAGGGCGGGAGGTGCAGAGAGAGCCCAAGCCCTCAGAGGCAGGTCCCTGTGCACGTCTTCCCTGCCCTGGAGCCCCGCTCGGCCCCAGGTCCCCCGCCGCTGCAGCAGGAGCCCCGAGGACTGCTGGGCGACCCCGAGTGAACAGTGGAGTATGTGAGTCTGCAGGCCAAGGGAAGTTCCAGGCCATTCTTGCTGAGGACCCCTGAGCTTCACTCCAGAGGGAGCAGAGGGGCCGAGGCATGGTGAGTGGGAAGCCTCAGGAGCAGCTCTGTCCCCACGGTGGGAAGGCTGCTGGGCCTTGAGTCTTGCGCTTCTTCCTCTGGGGCCCACTGTCCGCCAAAGCCCTGGGGGCTGTGGCCGGTGCAGAGGCCGCCCTCCTGGCCTGGCTCGTGGCGGCCCGGGAGCCCTCCCTGGGTGGGTGCGTGCACTTCTGCAGAAAAACAGGTGGGTGGACGTGTCTCTGGTCACGGGAGAAGAGGCCAGAGTTGTTCACATCTACCTACTATTGGAAAACATTTGGCCTTCTTGGCTGAAGTCTTCTGCAAAACTACTGTATGTTTGTTCACTACCTTTTCCCATTTGTTTTTGTTTTTATTTTTGCATCTATTAGAGAGTTTTCATTTCTTTGCAGACAAGGTCTAGATGAGGGGTCAGAGATTAGGCTGAACTGTGAGGGATCCTCTGTGTTCTCACGGGTGGCCCTGACTTTCAGCGGTGCTGGGACCACTGGCCGGTTGCTGCGCCTCTTTGCCTCAGTTTCCCCGTTTGTAAAATGGGAGAATAATACTTGCCTACCTACCTCACAGGGGTGTTGTGAGGATTCATTTGTGATTTTTTTTTTGTACAGAGCTTTTGAGCATTAAAAATGGCTAAATGTGAAGTGTGCCTGTCTGCTCTAATGTCTGTAGTACATTCTAGAACTGATGCTCCTTCAGAGTAATGGGTGGGCAAGGTGAGTTGAAAGCACCAGTTCTCAGAGAAGGTAGGTTTTTCCAGACATCCCTCTTTTTCTTCACATCCTTTATGTATGACTGTCTCACTCTGGATGCCCAGGGCTGAGCCTCTCCTTGAAGAAAGCCATGTAACAGGCTCATTCATGCTGAAGTGTGAAGGACTGTCGTGTTGTTCAGGGACATGGAGCAACATGGAAATTCAGGGGCTGTGACGGAGGGTGAACCTCAGGCTCTACTCCCTCCTCTCACTCTTGCAGGCTTTGCTTGGCCTCTTTTAGTCCCCAAATGCTTGGACACAATGGCATTGAGAGGTTGGTGTGTAAAGAGGCAGAGAGCACCGACCCCAGGCTCCTCTCCAAGCTCTCCCAGCGTTAGGGGAATAAGACCCCCTGGGTTGTATTTCCACGGTCAGCTGGAGGTGGTCAGAATGGAACCCAGAGCTCCATGTGCTAGGGTTGGTGATCTTTCCAGCCTGGGAGGGGAGGCCTCCTGGAGTTATTTCCCAGCACGACAGAGCCCAAGGATGCTCCACGTGGCTTCTGAATGGGAACGTAGAGATATGCAAACCGGCGTGTGTGCGTAGGTGTGCGTGGTGTTGGAGGGGACGCTTCTTGGCCCAGGGTCAGAGGGTCTGGGTAGGGATATAGCAGAGTAGATGCTGTGTTCACGGGTGTGTCCCCTCAGGCTCCCTGGGCCTGTCCAGCCCGTGGGAGGGCATCTGGCAGGTAGGTGGCAGTACTGGATCCCATGCCCGTAGCTCCTGTGGTCCAGGGCATCGGAAGCCTCTGTTAAATGAGTGAATACAAAATATAATAACTAAATGAGTGAATACACGTGAGACCTTAGAACAGCCCCTGACATGCCGTAAGCTTGCAGTCAGTTTTAGCCAACTTTGCAAAGTCTCCCTGCAGATCCTTTTGGGGTGCTCAGGAGTAGTCTCTCACTTATCCTGTGTCTGGTCATCGCTGTGGGGGCATCCCTACTGCTTCCGGAACTTCAGACATCACTGAGGCCCTCCCCTGCTCAAGTGCCCAGGTTAGGCGGTGTCATGTGGGACAGGGCCTGGGGTCTGCGTTTACTTGTAGTTGAGGAACCTGCCTAGGTCCCTTGGCTGAGCTGTCGCCCTATCCTCCCCCAGCCCCCTGAGGGCCCAGCACCTAGGCCAGCAGCCTCGATGTGCCCAGCTGCCACTCTCTTACCCTGTGTTCTTTCCCAAAGGCTTCTGAGTCTTCTGGGGACCTTGCCACATCAGTTTGCCCCTGGGCCCAGACCAGATGGGCCTTCCCTGGGACCCTACCCGACTTAGGGGCGTACCCGTGGGTGCTAATGAGCACATGCAGGCTTCTGTATCTAAGGGTGTAGGTTGGAGATGGCACGTAGGTGGGCTGTGGGCAGTGATTCAACTGGGCTGTGACAGGGACAGCCCCGCCTTCCAGGGCCTGTGGTATTTCGGGGAAGACAGTCAACAAGTCATCCACACTGGGTATGGCGAGAACTGAGATGGCGCAGGCTGCCTGTACACAGAGCAGTGAGTATGGTTCAAGGTCAGAGTTCAGCCCCGGGTCCTGGCTTCCATTGCTGTTGTCTGACAGAGCTTCTAGAACAAAGAAACACCAAGGGCATGGACCTTGGGGCCTGGAGTCAGGCCACCTCACCCCAGGACCCCCACAGCACAAATGATCAGCGTTCTTTCTGACCCTGCTTACTCTCCCTGCCTGGACCAGACTCCAGGAATTGGCCATATTCTGTGGAAGGGGGACCCCTCAGAGGGCCTTTGGCTTCTCTGCTCATCCCAAGAACCAGTTTAGGATGAGCTGGAAAAATGGAGCGCCCACCCAGATGTTACCTGGACAGGTCTTCCTTGCCAGGTCCAACCTCGGGTCCCCCAGCCTCACCCCCAGCAGAACCCGCACCATCAGATCTTCACATTGGTTTTACCTTACAATAGGCTGTTTATCTGTTTCTCACATAAGTAAGGCATGGTCAGCAGCCAGTTATGAAAATTCAACCAGTCTCTTTATCCCCCCAGCCCCTACCCCCGCCCCACCCTCTGGCTGTAGAAGCACACCCCTCTCTGCTCCGGCAGCCAGAATGCTTTCAAGCCTGCGTACCCTGACATTTGAGATTGTGGGTGAGTCACCTTGTCTCTCTGAGTCTCAAGTGTCCCCACTGTGAGACTGAAATACTTATTCTGTAGGGGAAGATCAAACCTGATGTAGGGGCCCAGTGCCGTGCCTTAGTGCAGGGGAGTTCCTGCAGGAACGGTCTCTGGTGAGTTTGTTAATATGAGACCCGGAGCAAAGGAGTCCGGCTGAGATGTCACCACAGTAGTGACGTGGACATGGGAGACTCCCTGGAAGTCGGGGAAGCTTGAGCCAGTAGGCGGGTAATGCTGGGGAGCCAGAGGCCCATGGGTGCCCCCAGTTCCCCCGGAGGCCGAGCTCCCCCCAGGTCTCCTTCCCTCCCGGAGGAGCCAGTTGGAGGGGACGAAGGCACTCCTCAGCGTCTCAGGTGGCTGTTAGGGAAGCCATGCTGACGTCTCTAACAACCAGCGCAGGTGTGGGGCAGCCTGGCCCAGAGGGAGCCGGCATCAGGGTGGATCCCTGGGTGAGCTGACCAGAGAGTGTTTCTTAAATTTGTTGACAGTTGGATGAGGGCAGACAACCCGGCTTCCAGAAAATTGCCCTGCCCTCCCTTCTCCAGGAGGGGCCACGGGTCGTATGGACTGTGGCCAGGACACCGCTCCTCTGTCTGCCTTGCGGATAAGAGGGGTGGAGAAGAGACGAGGACAGAAGGAGTCGATACCCCCAAATCTGCATGTGGCAGTGCAAACCTCCGATTATTTCTAAATAAAGTGAATACCCCATTTTAAAGGTTTTCAATATGCACCACCCGTGTGTGCTCTAGAAAGGTCCGTTTTGCTGTCCTTCGTGAGCATGCTGCTTCCCACTCTTGCCAGCACTGCTTGCTACACTTTTAAAAAGTTCTTGCCATTTTGTGGCTCAAAATAGAATCTCATAATTTTGTTTACTTTTGTGTTTCTTTTAATATGAACTTAATTTCGTGTGTATTGGCCACTTGTGTTTTTTATGAATTGTCTGTGTCCTTTGCTGACTTTTTTTGGGGGCGTTTGTCTTTTCCTTCTTGATTTATAAAGATGGTAATGCTTGCTTTCCCATATATGTTTCATTATTTTTAGCCTCACAATGTCATCAGACACATGCGTTCCCTTAGAGCCTGTCCCCTTCGTCCTTCTATGCCCTCAGCCTATTGGTTCTTAGATCAATAACCTTTGCTTATTTTATTAGGTTCTCTATGACTTAGTCAGGTGCTGTATTTGGCTTTGTTTATAGTCACATCCCATTTTATACTCCAACAAGACCCCAAGGTAGTTTTAGGATTCCTATTTTACAGATAGGGATACTGAGGCCCAGAGAGTGTCTGATTCCAGGCCCAGCTCATTTCAGAGGTGGGTGTCGGAGCTAGCAATATTGGGATTCTCTTTGGTAGTGGAATCCTCTGACATTTTCAAGGATTGGAATCCTTCTGGAGGAGTGCCCTAGCTCTCTCTGGTTGGGTGGGGCAGGCGTTGTGGGGGACAGATGATTTCTCTGAAAACCCTCCCTCAAGGTCTTGTGGTTCTCGGACTCGATGTTGTTCAAACCCGTATGTTCTTTCAAGAGGTTCCCCTCAACGCCCACAAGAAATGCTTGTTTCCTATGAGTCACAGTGACAGATTTTCTAAGACTTGGGCCTTTTAAGTCTGACTTCATATCTCCTCTTAGTGGATTCCTTCCTTTTCCTACCATCTGCTCACGTCACCCATGCGCAGAGCCTATGGGACAGCATGTCTACACTCTCCTGATGGAACTGTCATTCTCTTTGAACTACGTGAGGCCGTCTTCTGGGCTGAACTAAATACCACCGGTTTATGACAATACCCACTTCCCCCTTCTTACTCTGACATTTGAGGTCACTCACCTTTTTAACTTTTGCCAATCTGATGAGGAAAAAAGTAGTCTTATTTTTATGTTAATGTGGCTTTTCCAATTACTATTGAGATGGACCGTCTTTTCATATGTTTATTGGCCCTTTGAATTTATTCTCTTATGGGTTTATTTTTCCATCAGGTTGTCTTTCTTAGGTTAATAGGCCTAGGGACGCCTGGATGGCTTAGCGGTTCAGCATCTGCCTTCAGCTCGGGGTGTGGTCCTGAGGTCCAAGGATGAGTCCCACATCGCCCTCCCTGTGAGGAGCCTGCTTCTCCCTCTGCCTGTGTCTCTGCCTCTCTCTGTGTCTCATGAATAAATGAACAAAATCTTTTTAAAAAAGATTAATAGGTATAAATGTTTAATATGATCTATTTAGTTCATAGATAGGTAGTTGGCTAGATGTACAGCAAGTTCTTTGACCCAGTCTATCTGGTCTTAGTCACTATTTTATTTTAAAAATATTTTATTTATATGTTTGAGAGGGAGAGAGCACAGGTCAGGGAAGGGGTGGAAGGAGAGGGAGAAGCAGGTTTCCTGCTGAACAGGGAGCCTGATGCAGGCCTTGATCCCAGGACCCTGAGATCATGTCCTGAGCTAAAGGTAGATGCTTAACTGACTGAGCCACCCAGGCGCACCCTGGGCATATGCTCTCATTTCTCTTGGTTAGATACCTAGGAGGAGAGTGACGCACATGCCAGGTGTGTGTTAGACCTTTGAAGAGATTGCCACGCTGATGAGCAGTTTCATCTCCACCAACAGAGTGTGAGGGTTCTAGTACCTCTACATCTTTACCAACCTTGGTATCATCTGTATCTGTAACGTTAGCCGTTCTGAGAGGTATGTAGTGGATCTAGTCCCATCCCCACCCTCCGGTCACATTTTAAATGTATAACATTTCTAGTTCATTCTTTTTTGGGGTTGGATAAAGCCTCATC